ACTATTATATATACAGCTAGAATCTGTATTTGTGTTTTTTTTTTAGCAAGAGAATGGGGAAACGATCTCCTACCTTTTCAATAAAAATTCCGGAGAACAATTTTATATTAAACTACATGTCAAAGGTATATATATATATATTTGTTTAAGTTTAAGTACCAATAGTTACCAATAGTGTGTTAAATTCTATTTTCTCGGGGTTATTTTACTTTTGATCCTTGTTAATAAAAATATTCTTTATTAAAAAATATTAAAAAAAAATTTTTAATCATTTGATCTATCTGACAAATAAAAATTTTTTAAAAAAATATATTTATTTTTTATTTTTATTTTTTTTTTTAATAGAGTTTTAATAACGATGATTCTGAACAATTTGACGATGAAGTAGAATCTATTTCAATTTCTACACAGGTTGAATTTGAAAAAGAATTAGATCGTTCAAGAAGAGAGTTCATACAATTTAATCAGGAATTAGATGAAATTGCTCGATCTATGAAGCAGTTATTTGAGGGATCCCCTCATTTTCTTGCAGGAATGGAAGAAATAAAGCAAAAACAAGGTTTGTAAAAATTAAAATATTAATTAAATGCTTATTAAATATTAGTTAAATGGTTATTAAATGGTTATTAAATGGTTATTAAAATGGTACTTATTTTTATAATCTTTTTTATTTCGATATTTATTTGATTTAATTTGGATGCAGATGACATTGAGGAATGCATCTTGTTGACTCAAGAAAAAATAATAGAAAACGAACATCGGTTGTCAGATTTACAATATCTTCAAAATAAAGTACATGAAGATATTAATAATGATTTAAAAATGATTCAAGAACAAATTTATGAAGTAAGCATCAACGTAACATTATATATGATATATACAAAAATTTTGATTATACGAAAATTTTTGACATTAATTTATATTATATAAAAAAATTTTAGATTCTTAAAAAACATCAGAACTCGCATACAAGCATATCAAACATTTGCAATAATCAATCGAGGACTTGTGAACAACTTGAACTCATGTTACAAGCTATTCATGAGTATGCTAGGTTGATAGAAGAAGCCAGTCTAACTATCAAACATTTCGCTGATGTGTCACCAAGAAAAGAATATGAATCACTTGACTTGTCACCATTTCGTTCACATGAGGTATTTATCATGAATTGTTAATAACATTAATAATAATATAATTAATATGTAGTAAAATTAATATAATATATTAATTTACTATATATTATGTTATAATATATTAATTTACTATATATTAATTTAATTATATATTATATTATAATATATTAATTTACTATATATTATATAATATTAATTATAGGGTAGCATTTCTTATTTCGAAGACAAAATTTATCCAACGAATCGTATAAAAACACCGACACCAAGTTCACCAACATCACCATCACCAACAGAGTCACCACAATCGTCGAGAGCTTCTAATCATACAACGATAACTACACCAACAAGTGTTGTTACAGATCCGTCATCACCAATTTCACCACCGGATTCAATACAACCTAATTCAATGGTAACAGAATTACCACAATATCGACTTTTGTTCGAAATGCGTCGAGCAGCAGTAGGATTAAAATTTTTATATTATGCACATAAATTAAATGATTATAAGAGCAATTGCCCTGATAATGAATGCGAACTGGGATTAGATTTATATGAGGATCCTTTAATAACAGAAGAAGTGCCAAATATTTATAATGGAGTTAATAAAAATATAAATCTTAATAATAATAATCATAAAGATAGTACACCAGGAAAAATATGTGCCATTATACGTAACAGATCGCTAGTAGTGCATTCATATGAATTAATGCGATTTAATAAGCGAACAATGATCAAACAACAAGGATAATTAGTATTTATCAAACAAGGACAATTAGTGTTTGAGAGTTAATACAGATGCGTAGTAAAGATAGTAATACTGTAATGGCTGTAATTGGCCGTAATAGCTGTAATAGGTGCTGTAATAGGTGGAGACATGTAAAATTAGTTGAAATTTTTTATAAATAGTATAAAAAGACATTGGATCAACAAAAATAGGTAACGAATATTACGAAATATTACGAATATCACGAAATATTACGAATATCACGAAATATTACGAATATTACGAAATATTACGAATTATCACGAAATATTACGAATATTACGAATATTACGAAATATCACGAATATTACGAAATATCACGAATATATTATGAAAATATTACGAATATTACGAATATATTATGAAAATATTACGAATATTACGAATATTTTATATACATTATATATACATTATATATACTTTTTTTTTTTTAATTATTTTTTTTTTTCAGGATCCATTGCAGGTTTCACAGGATCAAACTGAAAATTGTATTTTTAGTTATAATACTAAAATAGTTAACTTGTTTATAATTGTACGATGGAGATGTTTTTTTTTTTTAACACTTCAAACACATTAACACATTTCTATCACAACATACTATATAAATATTTTGAACATTTCATTCAGATTCATCAGATTTATCAGATTCATCAGATTTATCAGATTTATCAGATTCATCAGATTCATCAGATTCAGAATCAGAAATACAATATAAACATCAAATCATCGAAAGAATTCACACTAGCATAGAAGTATAAGTAATAATATTTAACAGAATAAATCTTATACTTCAATCATTTTCATATTTAATTTATATATAAATATATATACAGTATCTCTGGTATATAAAAAAAAAAAATACATGTATATATGTATATGTATATGTTTTTTTTTTAACTTTAACGTTAACGTTGTTAACGTTAAAATTAACATTTAACATTATTAAAATAAAAATTTAATGATGCTTATTTTGGTAAGTTATAAAAATAATTATGAATGTTATCCAAAATGGACAATCCGACAGACCCAACCATTTCTTAGTACGATAGGAAAAAAAAAATACCCCACTAAATTTGGTTACTAGAAAAGGATAAAACCTTATTTTTATCAAATATCAAATATTACTTATTGTAAATATTTAATTTTGATGAATATGACTAAAATTATACTTTTATCCTTAAAAAGTTGTGATCAGAACATGTGTAATTTAAATTTACGTAATACTGTAATATCATTATAGTTATTGAGTTTAAACATATACAGAGAATCCGACTTATCGATTAATGTCAATGTGGCGATGTGGAGATGTGAAGTAAATTTAATGTTAAATTAATGTTAAATTAATGTTAAATTAATGTTAAAATTTAATGTTAAATTAATGTTAAATTAATGTTAAAATTTAATGTTATATATAAAATGCGAATGCTATGTATTTAATGAAAACCGATAAATCTTTGATGTTTATTTACCGTTACTAGTTACGTATCAGGTATATACATACGTACGTACGTACGTACGTACATACTTATACACAATCATACGCAATCGAAAAAAAGTTTTTTGTTTAATAATGTATGCAAGTACGCAAAGGTACATGAGAGCATAGAAAAGTTTGTAATACGTGATTACGATTAGTTCTAAAATTACACAATGTGTGTACGTAATTAAAATTTAGCCAAAATACTGAAATAATTAAATAATGGGATAATGAATATAATGAACATAATGAATGAATATCGATATCAATAGCGTTTAATTACAGTAATCTTCGACGTATCAATATCGTACGTATAACAATAACGATAAAGATGAGGGTTCTTTCTAAATTAGATATATTTTTATGATTAACTGGATTAACTGGTATTGTCATTGTCGGTATTGTCACGAGATAACTTATTATAGATATCTTATTATAGATATTTTTTAACATTGAAAATTACACAAAATTTTATTAAGATAACCTATTCTAATTTTCATATAAATTTGTTAAGTTAGAGACATCGACGTACGTACGTACGTGTGTACATAGTGTATGTTGAACGGGATATCGATATACGAAAAAGGATTTGGGGCGCAGTGTTACATTATAAACAAAACATTTATCATACATCAGAAATATCTAGAAATATCTAAGGGAAAACGCCAAATAATCAACTTCAATAGTAGGTCTTACGTAATTTCACCAAATAAAGACTATTAAAAAAAATGTTTGTAAAATCGATAAACTAATCTTCATTTTATGACATTTGTCATCATACGTAAATTAATTATTAATTAACACATTCAAACATAGTAAAAAGGTGGAGAAAAACAGAATTATAATATATGACAGATCTTTTTTTAACAAAAAACAAACTATACGCGGCTCATACCGAAACCTGCTTTCCCAAAATAAGGATTAAACGTTAATATTTTAATGGCGGATTAACAATTAAAATAAAACAAAATTAAGCTTGATTTTATGCAGGATAACCTTCGTAAAAAGTTAAAGCGGGCCAAAAAAAAAGGGGAAGTAAATAATGTTTGATTGCCCTTACACCATACTTATCCATACTTATGTAGGGACTTGCTCATGTATGATAAATTTACTTTTTATTTCACACGCTTTTGCAAATATAATATTAATTTACAATTTAACTAACTTTCTTTGATAGATTTTGCATTACAGGTACTGTTACTGTACCTGTACGTACGTACGTACATAACCAATCATATCCTATATTAATTAAAGAATTAAAGTCACGTTTTTTTAACCCCAAAAAAATCTCGTCGATTGTGATCCACGTGATAATATAATAACGATAATATCTGATATAATAAGATTATTATTATTATAGGATTATTATTATTAGATTATTATTATATGATTATTATTAGATTATTATAAGATGATTATTATTAGATTATTATTACAAGATTATTATTATGATTAGATATTAAATTGCATATATAATAACGATCATCAGTTCATCTGAACGTGATGTTAATCATATGGATAATACGGATAAAAGTTATCAATTAAAATGACAAGTATGACAACACCAATGAAATGAAAGTACAATGTTGATTGTATGCTAGCACAGTCAACACAGTCTAACACGGTCAAGAGTATCATCAAATTCCGCGCACAGCATTATCTGTTACGTGATCACATATGATTTACCAACTAAAATCTATTCCATAAAGATTTATATATTCCAGAATTGTTATATGACAAAAACCTATCTTTAGTAAAAAGGAACCTGGGGAATGAAATATATAAACTTGGACTTCGTTTTAAAAATAACTGATAATCTACTCCAAAATTTCATCGCCGTCATTGATTCGGAACAACAAAATGGAATAAACCTGATCATAGTCACCAAATGATCTGAACTTATCGATCTTGGAAAGATCTACTCAAATCATGGCTGTACGTACGTACTTACATAAATAGAACTACGTACGCAAAGATATGACTTTTTATTTTTTCCTTTTTCGTCGTATAAACCGGATATGTTGCAATGACGTAACATATTAATACGTACGTAATCACGTATTAACGTTAATAAAATTAACAGTTATAATTCTACATACCTGATACATACGTACGTACGTACGTACGTGAGTATAATTATTATCATAACAAGTTTTTTAAGTTATATGTATGCATTATTAATTATATATATATATATTATATTATATAATTATATATACGTATTATATTATATAATTATATATACGTATTATATTATATAATTATATATATTAATTATATATTATGTATTATGTATTATACAAATCTTATACGTACAAATCTTATACGGGCATTATTACATATACGGACAGCATACCGATACTTAAATCTTTAAACACTGTTCTCAAATATTAAAGCACAATTATTTCCCTGCGTAAATTTTATTAAACTTTGAACAGAAATTAATCTGTTTTTGTCATATGGCTTCATGATGATTTTATTGTTCAATAAATTTAAATGTCAACTTGGCTTTTGTGCATACATTTAAGAATTACAAGAATTATTGATGAATTTGGAAGTCTTCGATGACTCATCGGATTTTCAATAAACCATTACTATATAAAAAGTGTCAAGGGGGTTGTATCAGAAAAAAACATTGATAAGAACTAAAATGCCAATCTTTGATGAAACATCTTTCCTAAACTAGCACGTCAAACGCACACGGATCACTGCATAATCATATCATAATTCTGTAATTGACAGTTTTTTTTTTTTTTTGTACTCAATTATACACTTATGTCACACCTTACGCGCATGCAATCTCGTCTATTTTTTGTTTCTTTGTAACATACTGTATTAAAAAGTACTCGTATATCCTTATTCAGTAATTGCTCTTTCTCATTAAATTATATTTTGTATTTCTCATTAAATTATATTATTAAATTATATTTTGTATTTCTCATTAAATTATATTATTAAATTATATTTTGTATTTCTCATTAAATTATGTTATTAAATTATGTTATTAAATTAATTATATTTTGTATTTCTCATTAAATTATGTTATTAAATTATATTTTGTATTTCTCATTGAATTATATTCTGTATTTCTCACTAAATTATTTTGTATTCTTGTAAATTACTCAATTTTGGACATAGTATGTTTCTAAATTTATTTAGTTCTTATACCAAAATTCTACGTACTAAACAATAGTATGATTCTATATTTATTTAGTTCATACTGTTTGATCTGAAATCTATTTGATAATCGGAGTATCAAAATAATGGTCCCCGGCATTTCTGATATATACTCTGATACCCCATTTCTGATACTCGATACTCTGATATCGCATGCATAAATATGTATTGTGCATGTATGCCCTTAAAACTTTGTTCCGTATCCTAAAATACTATCCTAAAATACTAATGTTACGTACGTACGTACATACTAATGCTAACGATATCAGATATTGCATATATTGATACATACGTACGTACACACTAATGCTAACGATATTGCATATACTGATACGTACATACTAATGCTAACGATATTGTATCAGGTATATACTGATACGTACGTGCGTACGTACTCGAGTTGTTTGTGAAACTAAATTATAATGGTGCACCAGTTTTCACCAATCAACATTGGTGATGCTGGTGATGCTGATAAAATTGGCGAAACTGTTTGAAACTGGTGATAAAACCGTCTTACTCTATACTCTGGTTATGACAAACAAAACAGGTAAGAACATTCAATGTTTTTATCTGTTTTGTTTGTTATAACTAGAGTTTGATATATAAAGATTCTGTATAGCCGTATAGATTAAGATTATTTTATCTAGCTGTATTACGTACCAATATTACCAGGTTCACCAGGTTCACCAGTATCACCAGTTTCATCAGCCAGTATAGCAGTTTTACCGGTTTTACCAAATCACCAATTTAGCTATTAAGTTGTATCATAGTTTCACCAGTTTCACCAGGTCCCAACTAGTGAAACTAATTAGTTTCACCAACAACTCTAGAACGTACCTTTTTTCAAATTTCATGTGCATGGAACTCTGGCCTGCATTATAGTAGCTTGTTGCTAATGCGAGCCAGAATTATGAGATTCCGAAATATTCTGAAGTAGTTTCTGCTATTAGTACTGGCGAAACCCAGTCAGCATTTACCCATAGGTCACGTGAAAAATCAAGTTTTTACAAGGTATTCGTTAAAGTAGTAATACAAATTCACTAAATTTTAATCGTACGTACGGGGTATATACGTAGTAAAGTAGTACGATACTGAATCCCCAATTAGGACTGAATTAGGACTGACGTGTAGAAATCATAATAGTACGTACGATTTGTAAAAGAAAAAATTCGTCAAACCCATGTTACTTTTTACTAACCCCAACATAAAAACCATTAAAAATGGTTATAAAATTTGTTCAAAATTTTGTATAATTTCGTATGTCCGTCAAAATCTGTATTGCCGTACAGTTAATATAGACTTGCAATTTTTATAAGTACCCATTTTTTAGTGATTATCATGTTGAGTTAGTAAGAAAAGTAACTTGAGTTTGATAAAGTTTTTCTTTTACAAATCGTACGTACTATCTTGTTTTCTACGCGTCTGTCCTACTTTACTATATACCCAAAAATACACGTCCTTAAATGTTATTAAGCTATAATTCATAACAAGTAGGCACTTACACATGTCACTTACTCTAAAGCACATAACAATAAACACACATATATTTACATATTGAAATTAGAAAAGCTGGTTAAATTAATTTACTAAATTTTAGATATTTGGTTGATAATAAGAAAGTGAAAAAAAAATTACCAATTCAACTCCAACTAATATATCACCATCATAATTTAACCTTTAATTGGAATGAATTTAAATTTTTAAATTACCCGGATTGAAAATTATTGAACCTCATACCAGTGTATAAAATCTGAAAAAATTTATTTGTACACATTTAAAAATTTGTACGTATATAAAATTGTGCACGCTAAAAAAAAATCGTGCACATGAATTTTATACACTGCCTCATACTATCCCTAAATTATCGTGTATAATATATTTGTCTCCTAAAGTTAGATATTCTTGCCTCAAAATATTATGAAATGCTTATTGCAAACACGAAGAAACGAATTAAAGAAACAAATTAAGGAACCGAATTAAAGAACCGAATTAAATTAAAGAACCGAATTAAGAAACGAATTAAAGAACCGAATTAAATTAAAGAACCGAATTAAGAAACGAATTAAAGAAACGAATTAAAGAACCGAATTAAAGAACCGAATTAAAGAACCGAATTAATAATATATCTTATTACGGTTTGCAAAGTATGGTTCCATGATTTTATGGTGGCTGAGAATTTTTGATCATAAACGAAAAAAAGTAATATGATATATCGATATGGGGTCTTTGCTTTGAAAATCACCTTCCGACATTTCCGACATTTCCGATTGGGTTAATTCGAACAAAAATAAACCTGATTACCGTTCATGATTATACATTAATCATCTTTTACCTTTATTGATTTAATAGTTTATTGATGAACCGGTACTTGGGTTTATTTTTGTCCGAATTAACCCGGTCGGAAATATCGGAAGGTGATTTTCAAGATATGATGTATGATATATATATGATACAACCTTGATTTTCGGAATTACAAGACTGTGACATTTTTCTGTCATGACTAACCTACCTGAATTTAATTTTTAATTTCGGGTCGAATTATGATGGTCATGATTATTTGTTTAGATAAAATCATTAATAAAGTCGTTTGAATCTGTCTTAGAAAGACCGAATAAGGATTGGTCTTTTAACTGGTCCCCACTAGAAATGTTACCTGTTACGTAATAAGGTCGTAATTAGGTCGTAACGTAAATAAATACCTCAATATAAAAATCTGTTTTTAAAATAGAGACTGCTAAATCTAGTCCCCACGTTTATTCGATTTCCGACCCTGAGACCAATCCAGACTGAACTTCATAAATAGTAATTCAAAAACGTTCACATAATATATGCTTAATACTGTAGCTTGTTTTAAGATTTAGTTCAGACCAAAAGACCGGTCTTACTAGAGAATGGGACTAGATGGACAGATCCCTAATGCTTTCCGGATGCATACTTTGTACCTAAACCACTAAACAGGACAATTTTAAACCTGCAGTTTTCGTAGTTTGTGTTACGGCTTCATCGACTAATTGCAAGGAATGTGTACGATTAATCGTTGTTAATTTGCAATAACACTAAGATTTTGCTTTATTTTTATTTTTTATTTTATTTTTTGTTTTGGTAAAGGCTTTTTGCTGATTTAAACCAAAAAAAAAAAGCAATACAAGGATATGTACTTATTTTGACAAAAAGGAAAAAAAATGTTATTATGTTTTGTTACTGGTCCCAGTGAGGATTGAACTCACGACCTTGGCGTTATTAGCACCACGCTCTACCGACTAAGCTATAGGACCGGTTTGTAAAACCTAGATATTTTATATTATTTGGACCTTTATATTTTTTAAGGAAATGTTTTTTCATGCACCCGCAGTTGTGCACTTCTAATGATCGGTAAATCATCGATAATTGTCTTTACGCCTTTGCTTTGTATTTTGTTTCTTGAATTACTTTTATACCTTCGCTTTGTATTTCGTTTCTTTTTATTTTCTTTCCTTCTTCCGTTTCTTTTCTTTGCTTTTTCTCTTTGACTCTTCTCTTCTATCGCTTTTTTTCCCCTTTATCTCGATCACTTCTTTTTTATTTTTGTTTTTCGTTTCTTTTGTTCCATCTCTTCTTTTTTTTCGCTTCTTTCTCTTCTTTTCTTTGCTTCTTTCCTTCATACCTTTTTTTTTTTTTTTTGCGCCCTTTCATCTTCCGCTATAATTGCCGTCCAAATACTGTTACGGTTGGTCCAAACAGGTTGTAACTGAAATTTTGTCCCAAATCCCAATTCGTAAATTTGGAACAGGTTGAGTCCCAAGGTTTTAACTAGTTTCAAAATATGGTTAATGCCCTAGAAAATTCCATAGTACTAAACTAGATATGTTTGAACGACAACTATATCTTCTGCATCTTTTTTTTTAATTTTGCATCTTTTCTTTTACTTTTTTTAATTCTTCGCTTTTCTTTTCTTCTATTTTCTTTCCATCACTTCTTTTTTCTTACCTTTTTTTATTTTTTATTTTATTTTTTTTGCTTCTTAGCTTTTTTTGTTTGGTTTTTGAATTTATTTATTAATTTTTTTATTTATTTTTATTTTATTTTGATTTTTTATTTTTTATTTCTTATTTTTTATTTTTTATTTTATTTTGGTTTTTTTGGTTTAAATTTGATTAATATTTTTTTTAGGTTTGCAATGTTTTGTTTTTAAATTATTATTAACATTATTAGTTTTTGAAGTTATTGGTTTTTAAAGCTATTATTTTTGAAATCATTGTTTTAATAATGTTGATTTTATTATTTTGTTTTTAAGAATTTTATAAAGCAAGACTTATTTTTTAAATAATTTTAATATTTATTAGAAGTAAAATTTATTAGATATAATATTTTTAAAAATAATTTTGAAAAGTATATTAAATAAAAATCTTTAGTATTTTAAAAAAACCTTACTTAAACCTTTGTTTTAATTTTAGCTTTAAACTTTAAAGTTTAATTTTAGCTTTAAATTTATAATAAATTTTTTAAGAAATAATCTAGTTGTCGCTAGTGGTAACAGTTACCGAATTGCAATTAACAAACCAGATCATATTATGGAATCAAATAATCGCTAAAGTTAATTGTTGTTAGGATTAGAGAAAATGGCACGGAAAAAAAAATTTGGCATGCCAGACGGCATGTCATTGCTAAAATTCGTGCCAAGATGCCACCCTGGTATGCCATTATGCCACATGATAGGTATACTCAATTTAGATTGGTCAGTTATCACGTACTATATAGACCTCTTTTCGGAATATTTCAGAACTTTGCTCTTGACCTTTCTCGTAATCTATGTATACTCGGAATATGCCAGATTAACATATAAATAGCATGTCTTATTGATAGTTTGAGTATTAGGCATGCCCATGGCATGCCACCAATAGCATGCTATGGTGGCATGCCCATGATCTCTGTGCTACTTTCCCTAGTTAGGATCAAGGTGAGAGTTGAATTAGGATTAGAGTAAGGTGATAATATAGTAAAATTTTGCAAGGAATTTTTTAATTAGAACATAAAAGGTAGTTTCATAAATAAAATTTTGAGCTATAGTGAATTTTTAAAAAATTTCAATATTTTCTTCATTTTTGGGTTATATAAACATTACACCTGATTTTATGATGTGATTGGCCAATTGCAATCTGATATTGTCACTATTAGTAACAAATAGATTTACCTATAATCAAAAATATATTATAATAAATTTTATTTTTAGATAAATTTTTCTATCTTCTTTAATACAATAATATGTTTGACTTAGTTTCTTATATTCTTTTCTTTTCTTCTATTTGTTATAGTAATAAATACTGTAATCATATAAATTATATTTAGGTTTATTATTATATTCTCTAATATTTAATATTTTTTAATCTTGAAAACTTCAATACTAGTATTAATAGTAATTATAAAATTCTTGCTTTTCTATGGTCTTTTTTTTATATTTTTATTAGTAAGCAATGCTTAGCTACCAAAACTTGTAGAAAAATATTTTTTTTACAAAATAAAAATAATAACCAATACAAGAATTTGCAAATTAAATTACTTTAAAATTTAGAATAAATAATATATCTCTTAACTCCAACTTTTTAGATTTATTAGAATTAATTTAATACAAAATATAAACAAGTATTTTTGTTTGTTTTTTTTTGTTTCAGCGATCTTTTCTTTATTATTTAAATTGGCCATAGCCATATCTCTGTAGAGGCTAATCTACCTAATATACTACATAATGTCTATACTAATAAAGAATCACTCAATCTATTAA